TCCATTCTAGAAACTTATTTTTATGCAATAAATACAATAAATTCAAATAATAAGCTGAATGATTGTTTAAAACTGTGGTTTACACATAGATTTAGCAACAAATTTCCAAAATTTTGAGTACATTTACAAAAAACTGAAACATTTGTAAATAACAAATTTTGCATTTTGCAGACTATTCAAAAAATTATTAATCTTGAATAGTTTTTGTCTTACCAAGTTAAATATGTGGCCCTTCCTAGATTTAGATTATTCTAATGCTGGCAAATATTTTCAAAATACCCTTGCCCTTTTAAAATGTTTTATTTATGACAATTATTCATATCCTCTAAGAATTTCTGGATTTAATAATAACAGTAGATGGAGTTCACACTTCAGCCTTCTTGAAGGTTATGCTTTCAAGGTATGTAAAAGCATGGCCATGAAGTCAAGGTCAAAAAAAATTTTTTTTTTCAATGCAGACAGACAGTATTTTTGTTGACACAGTGTTTTGAAAGGTTGGATCAATCAGCTGGGATGGTTGATTGCCTTTTATTATTTACAACAGCAATCTGTAGTTGCTTCATTAGAAGTCACACGGCTTGAATTTGACATAAAATGTTAAATAATAATCAGTATGGAAGTCATGGAAAAGGTACATAAATGTCAGATAAGCAAAATTAATGATATCTCTAAAAATTTGGTCAAAATTAAAAACTTTGAAAGACAAAAATCAAAAAATATATATATATATATAAAAATAAAATTTAAGGACATATGAATGCTATTAATGTCTTTTAATGAATACTGACACTAAAAAATATCTATAAAACTGTATCAAAGGGAAGTTCTAAGAAGATGGTCCTATATGAAAAATGTAGCTCACTAATATTCAAATGTTATTAATTGCTAAGATCATAACCTCAACTTAAGAATATGGATGCCATTTGACTCAAATGTATGGAGTTTGGGCACAGATAGCTCTTCAAACTTTATTCTGCTTACTGATGTGAATAAGTTTTCTAATACGAGGTGCATCCAATGCAGAAAAAGATGTACATGTGAAAATCTTAATTTCATTTCCAATGCATGACTAAGAACTTAACAGAGATTAGAAAAACCCATTACATGCATTATATGTGTGCCTATCACACTTCATTCGGTAAAGATTTATAAAATAATTCTCACTATTTTGATCACATGCTGACTTGACTGCTTTATAGGAAATTACCCCAAAATACAGAAAAATTATTTAATAAGTAGCAATTTAAAAAATGAAATATTTTGGTAAGGTTCTCTTAAGCATTTACAACTTATATATGTATATTTGATCAAGAGAGAATAATTAAATCAAAATTGAAAGTAAGCAATGCACCTTTCAAGATCACCAAAATGCACATATAAAAATTGAAACAAAAACACCTAAATAAAATTAATATAACCAACATAATTTTATTGAATTATTTTTAAAATTTTGAAATGTTTATATTTTATTTTAATTTTGATATATGTATTTCCTGTTAGAGGACTCCCACTTTCCAAGATCTAATTTTGATTTAATTATTATCTCTTGATTTATTTATTAATTTTGCAGCTGTTGTATCGTAAATTAAAATATGATGTTTAGCTTAAGAGTGATTCTCTTGACGAACGCGGCGTTCCCATTTGTCTGTGTGATGATGACATAACTCTTTATTACATATGTATATATGTGTAAATTTTTTTTAATTCTTCGCCCTTTTTTCTGCTGTATTTTTAAGTTAATCATTAAAAATGTTCATTGATGTTACAATCTGTTTAGGCTCATTTAGTTTTTCAGCAGCATACTGGGCAACTTTAATAACACATATCATCTTAATTTAAAACTTCTCACCTTTCATTTATATAAACATATATAAATGCATATATATGTAATGAAACTGTGGTTCGATGATATGACATGAAAGATTTGATTATGAATGAGGCACAAACTTGCATTAAAAATTACGGTTAAACAGAACTTTCCAATGATTCACTGTGAGCAAAAATAACACCCATGTAGATTTCTCATAATTGAACTGGCCACAATGATTACAGAACATTTTAGGCACTGGAATAGAACCTGAGTAGATCATAGAATACTGATTGCGTATACTTGATGCTTAAGCATCATACATTTTGAAGAAGGAACAGTCGAGCTGGATTAGTTCTTTTTTATTTTAAATTTTTTTTTGTTTGGCCACAATTCACTTACACTCCACTCGTGCCTATAAAGCATTCAATTTTGATATTATTCCCCATAGAAACGAAGTAGCAGCACACACACATTGCAGAAAGCGTATGGCCAAGAGGAAGCACAAGCAAAAGACGCATCAGTTCATAGAAGAAGGGAGGGAGTCGTTTTAGTTATGGTTTATATTTTGGTGATTGGTCAGAGGCATCTGCATTAATGGTTGTAAGATTGCATTATTAATTTGAATGACGCAGTTTAACTTGCGCTATTTTTTAGATAGTGGTTCCCAATTAATTAAAAATAAAGAGGTTATAGTGAATTAAATTTAGAAGTTTCATATTTTTATCTTATATATATATAATTATGATAAAATCAAACTTAGGACGTAATGACGAGCAGAATTTTGATGGTGTAGAAGTGTTGAATCCTCTGAAGGAATTTAGAAGATATAAACTTGAAGTAATATGAGCTTTTGATGGCGTAGAAGTGTTGATCCATACTGAATAGAAACGGACCAAGCAAGAAATCTTTATTTTATTTCAACAACTGTTGTGCCACAATCAAGTTGGGGACATCAAATGTGCCTATCCTATTACTTTTTTTAAATTTGCAATAAGAAGAGGAGCACAGGCAGTCCAGCTAAGCCAAGCATAGAAAAGCAGTGCATTATGTCAAGGTGAAATCTTTATTCAGACTGAGTTATTTTGGTCTCATCATTTTGATTGATAGTTAATTATTGCTGTAAAATTACTATTGGATGCTGAGTTTAGTACCATTACATCACCAGAATTATATAAGAGTCATATGACATGGGTTAATCTAGAAATGATGCAGTGCAGAGAGAGGTTACTATTTTTAGAATTGAGAAGGGAAATTTACATTGCTAATTTAATCTTCTACATATTCTTTATTTTTCTTACATATTGCTTCCCTCCCTTTTCTTTAAAAGGCTTCTCTGTTGCTACCCCTTTTGCCCCTTAAATTCTAATTTAAATAATTTATTATTGTCCTCATCTTGTGTTTCACTGTTCAAATTACAATTGAACTTTCATAATTATCAAGTCTACCAGTTTAACCCTTTGAGGGGCGGGGCCGGGAAACCAAAGAAACCACCATTTTCGAAATTTCCTTTTTCCAAACTGTTTGAGTGAAAACCGATTGATTACTTACTCTTTTGCCTCTAAATAACGCAAAATTACAGCAAACTATACATTTTAAGGTCTTAGTATTTTAAATTGGATGCCTTTTAAAATTCATTTTCATGAGAAAAAATAACTTCCTTTAGTTATTAATAACTTAAAATTTAAAAATTTTTTTATCGTACATCATTATTTCTATCATAAACAATAAAAATACAGCAATAATTAAACTGCATATATAAACAACCTGTGTATATTTATGGTATTTCCTTTGTGGTTTCAGGGCGCGACCACTGCCTGACTAGAGCATTGCATTACAATGCTCACATTCCCCTAGAGGCTCAGTGGTCACGCCCTAAACCACTGCTCTCTATAGTAATGTTTGCTGCTTTGAAATAGAAGTGTTTATTTTCACCCGGATATAGATAAGGGGTTTTGAAATCACAGAGTTATTGTATTACCAAGCAATACATGCACCTGCCCCCATAAAATATTTTTTGTTTCCACACATTTTTCTCTGCTTTCAACATGCTTGCTCTCTACTGTGATTTTCTAAATTATTTGTGTGGTTCCAAAAAACTGCAAATATATTTTTGAATAATTAAAAATAGAAATCGCGCAAAAATTTAATTAAATTTAAAATATTTTGCCAATATTTTATTTTCTACTGTTGAGATTCAAAATGCCTCGCAAAGGGTTAGAAATAGCTGATGCATTAGCATTACTTGAAAATTACCTTCAGATCCAGAATCAGTGGGTCTCTGAGGTAAAAGTGAAGGAGAAGGAAATACTCCTTTACCCCCCCCCCTCCTGCTTATGGAAATAATAGAAGATGAAAGTGATGATCATCAGAAATGATGATAAATTTACCAGGTCCTTCCAGAATTGCAGATGTAACATGGAATAAAATGCAGAATGTAGTGAAATTGTGCAGTGTTGGCTTGTGCATGTACCAAAAGATAAACATGCTATGAACAGTTCCATAAAAAATAACTTAGTTTTTTGACATTAAAAAAATTACTGATCTTTTTAATATTCTATTGAGTTTTTTTTTTATCTATTTATCCCAATTTCCTTATTATGTACGTTCTTATGTTTTCACTGCTGCAGAAAAATTACATAAATTTAAATTTTTTTCTGATGAGATACTTTGTAAAATAAAGTAAAAAATTTATATTTGATGCAATTTTTAAATGCAGTTTTATTGTTATTCGCAAATTTTGTCATTCATTTGAAATGCGTACGAAAAAAGGTAAGTTGTTTTTTCCTGCTAACTCAGCAAGTTTCAAAGTCCTAGACGCATGCTGGTTTCACAGCAAAACCACCACCCACAGATTAATGGGCGGGAGTAGATTTTTTTTAAATTCACATATTATTTGTCTCTGGGATCATAATATTCGATTTCTAGTGTTTTTAGTTAAAAAAAATTTTAAATAATATAGCGCACGTCAAAGGGTTAAAGAGAGAGGTTACCATATTTAGAATTGAGAAGGGAAATTTACGTTGCTAATTTAATCTTCTACATTTTTTTTCATACATCATTTATATATGGTATAATATATATATATATATATATATATACATTTATATGTTAAATATATATATATTCTTTTGGCTTATAATATATATAAGCCAAAAGAAAAGCCTTAGTTTTTAAAATAATGATAAATTACCTTTCTAATGAACCCTGTAATTTATTGGACTGTGTTTGTTCATCTAATTTTTCCTTAGCTTCTTCAAATAACTTAATAGGACTGCATTCTTGAGTTTTTTTAATTCCAGAATCTTCAGCAGGATAATTCTAAATAACAGAAAAATAAATCAACGACAGCATATGTTTCAAAGTTTAAGTTATATAACAAATTCCAAATATCCAGACTATCTGGAATTGCCGCCCATCCAAACATGAAAAGTTTAGAAAACTGGCCAATCTTTCTGTTGAATAGAAACATATTTTCTGCATTCATGTGAGAAAATTTAGTCTCCCCCCCTCGAATTTTATATTTTATTTCAACACATGCAACACAGTTAAAAATATTGTTCTTTATATTCAGTTTACACCTATGAATAAAAAAAACTTAAACAAGATCTAATTTACACTAAAGAATAACATACAATAACTTTGTTATACTGCAAGAATTTCTTAATAGAGAAGTAAATGACATTAAATCAACATTTAATTTTTAGGCAGGGAGCTTTAGTATGGCTGAAGAATAATTCTTGAAATAAACAAAGAACAGTAGACCTGGACATAACTACTAATAATTTTTCATTAATGTGTACAGACTACATATAAGCTTACTAATGTAGGTCAACCTAAACTTTGTACAGAGAGTGTTTACACATTTTTAAAACAATTTTATAAAAAAAAAAAAAAAAAGTGTTGGAATAAAAATTTCTGGCAACAACTTCCTTAATTTGTTTGCGTTTTAGTCTATGTGTTATATGTTTAATTAAAATAGCCTGGCTCAGTAAAAGTAGGCGGCCAGTGTAAATCTGATTCAAAATCCGGTTGTGACCACATGTGTGCTGATAATGACCACGTGTTTCTGAGACTCCTTTGCTAATGCTTTTTCTTCTTTTCCCTCTTTCTAGTAATTTCGTTCTCTTGATGAGGAGCGACCTTTAGCTGTCCTTGAAACTGATTGAGTGTTTTAATATATGTATGCCAAATACAAGGTTGTTATTGCGATTTTAACAACTTATTTATTTGAAATGAGAAATAGGGTCAGCTATTTTTTAATTTATTCTTGTTTTACAATGTTGCATGTAAACAAGCTGTGGACTGAAAGGTACATTTTTGAGCTTTCAGAAGAGAAATATTCCTATTCCATAACTGAGAAATGTTGTGAAGTGCATGGTATTAAAATTTCTATGCGCAAAAGAAAAAACATTAATTACAAGGGGGAAAACTATTATTACTTCTACATGGAAAAAAGACAGCAAATAAATACCCGGAAAAAGTACACACCGTTTCTAATGCTTCTAAAGTTAAATAGTTGCCAACAAGTTGAAATCTGCCTATGCAGAAATCAATTGCAAATTCTTTAAATACATAAATAAAATATTAAACCAATATTTACAACTTAAAAAGCAAAAAAAAAAAAAAAAAAAAAAATGTAATGTTCACCAGCTTTTGAAATAAAAAAAATCAAAATAAATAAAAAGCAGATTTAATTTTACTGGGCCTATGAACAAGCAATCTTGATAATTTGTAGAAAAAGACTTTTGTTAATATTTACAACTATATGAACTTCCTTACTATATTTTCTGGAATCTTCTGTTTTTGTGCATTAACAATCACAACATTTGACCTAAGAAGAAAATTCAAATATATGGAAAATGTCAGCACATAAAATCATTTAATTGAATTTAAATTCATTAAACACTGTTTCTGGTTTTTTAAACATAATATATATAATCAAACTTTGATAGCATGTCATTAGCAAAGCTCATTAAAAGATGTATTAAATTATATGACTTCCAAAACACAAATATTTTAAAGGGGGCATATTACTTTAGTTCCTGTGTGTGTGCATATATGTTCAAGAGGTGTTCAAATGAAAAGGTACAAAACATCGTAACAAATAAACAGGTTGAAATTTCACATCTATACCATTCCTCCTATAATAAAGGTTAAAGAATGGTTTTCATAGATTCATATTGTTAGATAAAATCTCATAGAGTACTCCAGCTATTTTTAAATGTAAATTAATAAAATTAATGAAATTTGATTATTTTTTAAGGTGTCTAAAAATGATGATTAAAATTTCTCATTCTTCTTCCTCAATGTATATATTCTTAACACATTTTATTTAATTATTAATGGTATTACTTAAAACTTTTTCGAAATGTTAGAAAACCAGTTAGTAAGTTTTATAGTAGTAAATCTGAAATCTCTTCTTTTGTCAAAAAGTCTTAATTCTTTTAGAATAACAATGCATAGATCTATATAATTTACTTTGAATTGATTTGAGTTGATCTTGTTTAATTCCAGGTATTCAAGGTAAATACTACCATTTTTAATGGGATTAAAATTGTTAAAGGATATATCATCAACATAATTGTAGCTGATTTTTTTAAATCATTGTTTGGTAGTGAACAAAAAAATTTGAATTCTTTAAATAATAAATATAGATTACAACAGATGAGTAATTCGTGCCCATTGAGATTCCTCCAACTTGTAGAAATAAAGTATCTTGAAATTTAATGTAATTATGAAAGAGCAAATGATTTAGATAATTTTTCCAACAATTACAATCTAAAATCTTAAACATGTCTGGAAAAAATTCTGCAAGTTCTAAAAGACTGTTAAAAATTTCTTGAAATGGTAGGGAAACATGTAGATTCTCAAAAGCATAGCAACTGACATTATTTATTTTCAGACTCTTAATTGCATTAATAATAGGCATGTGGCTGTAAATGATCTGGCTGTAGTGGTTTTCTTCATTAGCTTTCTTCAAAACTAAGCTTATGAATCTTGTTCAGTTTAACTGAAAAAATGTAATCGAAATACTTCTCCCATTAGCAATAAATCTGAATTTAATAGGGTGCTTGTGAAATTTAGGAAATTGGTTTGGAAATATATTATTCTCAGAATTAAGTGAAAAATGCAACAGGGTTCATAGCCACATTTTAGTTAAAAAAATAAGCACCTATAAGCACTTTTCAAGCACATTTTAAGAAATAAAATAAGCACCTGTCTAATTGCATTATATACAACTGCATAAACTTAAAAATTAGACTTTTAATTTAAAATATGAGAAATGCAGTATTTATTAAGAGAGAATAAGCATTACCTCAAACATGGAAAATAATTACTCTTTTTTTTTTTTTTTTTTTAAATTTTAAATAACAGTTCAATTTACAGAACTAGTTTACAATGAGAGAAAAAAAAAAACTATGCAGAACTAAACTATATTACAAGATTTAATGATGAAATTTCAGTTCAAATAGAGAAAAATAAATAATAATAAGGCATATTATTGTATTCGCTTGGAATCTAATAATAAATACAATTTATTTTTCCACTCATATTAGATATTAAATAATTTAAATCTAAATTCTGAAGATTTTTAAATTTTCATTCTATATCAGTTTTCCCTTAACAGATATTGCAAGCAAAGTAATTTAAGTAAAAAGAAGGAAACATTTTTGAAATCAGAAGACAGAAATTTTCTTCATGCAGTCATCCTTTAACAGCAAAAGCCTTAACTAAACCGCATACTTGGATATTGGCGAATATTCGGAGAGTCGAGCGTAACTTGAAAAAGAGGAGTGGAGGGGGGGTAGACTGTAGCCACTCTTTAGATTTTTCCACTAAATGAATGCTTTTGACATTTCGATATGTGCATCATATAAAAATAAACCAATGGAATTGAAAAATATTCTGCTTAACAAGCACAGTAAAACTCTTAAGTGTTCATAAACAAATCTCGGACAGAACATCAAAATTAATTATCTCTGCAAAATATCACAAACGTTATTATGCAATACGTGTGCCGTAATTCTTCATGGAGGTAAGAAACTACTTCTTACCTCCATGTAATTCTTCCCTACGTGATATTACGCAATCGGAATCAACAGCTGCTGATATTGGGAGAATAAAGAACTAAATAACTGGGGTGTTTTTCATTCTAATTTTCAACAAACGGCGTTAAATTTCTGGAATAGAATCATTCTTCGCTTGGGTTGGTAGACCGCAGAACTTTTAGTCCTATTCAATCCAGATTGGCAAGAGACAAAGAAAAAAAAAAAGAAAAAGTCCGTTGTTTGTTTTGCAGCGAACTCTAACAGTTTTAATATTTGAGATTTTGCGGAGAAGGGGAGAACATACCAATCTTCGTACTCTATAATGTATTGGCCAAAAAAATGAAATTATTTTGACTATTCAATTACTTTCCTTTATTTAAGCCATTCTGAATATTATTCCTTAGAAAGATAATGTGTTAAAACACTACCATTTTTGGAAGTTTACTATACTTCAGCAGTTACTGCGACTACGTTATTATAAACATTCATTCATATGCTCTAATATAAGCATAATGATCATAATAAACACGAATATGAACTAACCAAGCGGAACGAGAATGCAAATTATTAAGATCTTGATAGAAATTCAAACGTGTGTAGTATTTGGGTGGGAGGAAAAGAATGCCGAATGTACGGGAATTTTCTACTGCTTTCACAATTCTTTGACCAATAGAACGACGGGCACCTGTCTGTACTCTTCGTGCACACCAAAGGTTATGTTAATGTAGAGAAAGGGGTTATTTAGTTTCGATTTTGGTACGTGGAAAAATTGCGCATTCATTTAAAAAAAAGCACTAAAAGCAAAAAATAAGCACTAAAAACAAAAACAAAAAAAATAATAATAATAAGGGCTTTAAAGAAAAAATAAGCACTTATAACGGCTTTTATATTTTATTTTCAAATATAAGGACTTATAAGAACTTATAAGGACTGCTATGAACCCTGTGCAATCTTTAAAGAAAAATATGAAGCTTGTTAATAGCAGCTTTTTCTTTACATTTCTGAATACAATTAGTGGGAGGTGAATTAAGTTCTCTTTTAATTAGAGAAAAATAAAAAATTTTGCAGATAATGCTGAAATAATCCTGGCTTTGTCAATTTTTCATAATGGTGAATTTTGTCTTGAGCTAATACATGTTCTTTTTTAAAATGCTCCAAGTTCTCATTTCTTTAAAACTATGAATATTATTTAGTGCAATTTTGATTCTTTTCAGAATTTCTAGCTTCCATTTCATAAAGGGAAACTAAGTTGAAAACTAAGCTTAAGTTGGAATCCAAAATGAAATTATCAAATTTTTTTGGCATATTGAACTTTTCTGACTGGCTTTTCATGAGTTGTAGTAGGTCATGATCATTAACTATTTCTAGATCACCAATGCTTATGTAATCATGGTAAGAATCTACACAAGAAGCATACTATGGATCTTTACAAAATCAGGATGCTTCATTATCTTCAACATGATTCAACACATTATCAACAGCATTCTACTCAGTTATTTAGTGTTCTAGCACATTTAAAGCAGACCCGTGTTTTCAATTCTCTTGTCCAAAATAGACCTTGGGACTTCACAAAAATTAATATTATCATAGCGAGGATGCATAAATGCCAATTTACAGAAAATCTTGGAAGTTCTCTTTTGGCTATAATTAATATTTTTTTGGACAAAGTCTCGAACAAAGTTTTTTTATTATAGAAATTCCATTAAAGGTATTTTTAAAGTAATTTTGCTGCAACAACAATTGATTGTTGGTAAAAATCAATAACTGCTGAACAAGATTTTTAGCATATTCTGTAGCATTAAATAAATCTTTGAAAAGAAGTTACGGTGCATTAAATTTACTGGCATTTGTCCGTGCTTTTATTTCCTCCTTATTTCCTCCTCTAGTCCTTTAATAGTTTTGTTGATGAAAATACCAAATTGTTCATAACTGTAGTATTAAGTAATAAACTGTAGTACTTGGAATAAGAATTATTAATATAAGAATTAAGACCATAATGGTAGAGAGTTCTGTTGCAAGGGAAAAAGGAATGAGCAATCCCCATTGCTTTTTAAATTTATATCCTTGCCATGTATACCAGTAAAAAAAATCTGAATTTAAAAAAAAAAAAAAAAAAAAAAAAAAAAAAAAAAAAAAAAAAAAACCTTAAAAATTAATTTTGGTAAAGATTAACAAAAATGAAAATTAACTAGCAAATGTTACACTAAATGTTTGCGAAAAAGGCAACACCATGAAGAGTTTGTCGGAAATGAATGAAACTTATTCCACATGTTACTGATAGTGGTACAAATAAACAATCAAATTTACATTTAAAAAAAAAAAAGAATGTTGGAAATCATTACTTCATGTATCTACCACACTGAGCGATGATAACCTGTACATGTCATGGCATTGAATCATACAAGTTCTGAATGTAACCCTGGGGAATGGTGTTCCATATGGTCTCAACTTGATGCTAAATTTCAGTCTTAGTGTGTGTCCCCCACCAGCTGTACAAGCAAGTCACAGACTAATGAAATCCTAGACATGCTCAATGGGCAATATATCTGGGGAATAAGCAAGCCATGGAAGAAATGAAACCTGTTATACCCTAAAGAAGGCTTGTGCAGTTTGTGCATGGGCATTATCCTTCTCAAATACAACACACGGAATGCATCAAAGAATGGGGAGGACCTCTGGATCCACAGCTTCCCTTATGTAGTGATCACTGTTGAGGTTGCCCACAATCTGCACTAGATGGGATCAACAATTATACCAAATACCTCCCCATGGCATGATACCA